GGGGGGGGGGGGCGGCAGGGGAGGGAGGGTTGAAACAAGGTCTTGCTGTTAGTTTAGATTGTTCTTGAACTCACAATGTGGCCCAAGTTGGTCTTGAACTTTCGACAATCCTCCAGCCTTAGCCTCCAGAGTGGGATTACAGGCATGTGCCACCATGCCTGTTTTTTTTTTTTTGATACAAGGTCACACTATGTATATGTAGTTCAGGCTGGTCTTGAACTCACTATATAGCCATGCTGACCTCAAACTCACTGTCTCAGCCTCCAGTGTGCTGGGATTATAGGTGTGTGCCACCATGCCTGCCTTTTATTTTCTTATTTTGAGACAGGGTCTCACAAAGTTGCTAAATTGCCCTGCTTCAGTTTGAACTTGTGATCCTCCTGCCTCTGCTTCCCAAGTAGCTGGGATTAGAGGTGTATCCCACTGTACCAAGCTAAAATATTTATCTTCATGTCATGTAATTTATTCCGTATCAGGACCAATACTTCGTTTTTTTTTTCTTTTTTTTTCCCTAGGCATGTGCTCTACCACTGACTATGGGGCAATTCCCCAGGCCTTCTTATTTATTTACTTTTTATATTTTGAGACAGAGTCTCACTAAGTTGTCTGATTGGCCTCAAACTTGTGATCCTTCTGCTTCAGCCTCCCAAGGAGCTGAGATTACATGTATGTGCCACCTCATTCAGCTAATAGTCTCCATTCTACAGGTTTGAGGAAACTGAGGCTCCATGGGTGAAATCACTTTTCAAGGTCACACAAAAAGTCAGTTGCAGTGTTGGAACCACACCCAAGCCTGCCTGTTATGATTTATATCTAGATGTTCCCCCAAGGCCTTAAGCAGTCATAAGTAAGGATTAGGGAGGTAACTGGATCACAGGGGTGTGATACTCATCAGTGAGTTAGCTCAGTGATGAGTTTATAGTTAAATTTGATGTTGGGAGTTGAAGACTGCCTGGAGGAGGTGGGTCCCTGGAGGCATGGCCTGGAAAGGTTTAACTCCCTCTTCCCTTGGTTTCTCTTTGTTCCTCCACCACGCCATAAGGAAGCCTCCTCTGCCATGCGCCCTGCCTTAGAGGCAGCCCATGATGGCCTGAAGCCTCTACAAACTGTGAGCCAAAATAAACCTCTCCTACTTTAACTTGTGGGTGTTAGGTATTGTGTCCCAGCAATAAGAAAGTAACTAAGACACTATCCCTGGAGCTTCATAATGCCTTGTTTTCCAAAGCATCTTAGCCAGGCCTTCTGACTGCATATCCTATTTTTCTGCATGCTATCCAGCTTCAATGTTATTGATAGATCCCCAGCTGGTGGTCTCCTCACCACAACTTTTTTTTTCTTTTTTTTCTGGTATCGGGGATCAAACTCAGGACCTTGCACTTGCAAGGCAGGCACTGGAACCACTGAGCTAAATCCCCGGCCCCTCACCACAACTTTTATCATACTGTTTTTAAGCTCTTAGGTTGTTACTATTCACTCATTTAATAAATATTTACTGAGTCCCTATTATACTCTAAAAGTTTCTCAGAAGAAGTAATGATTGCTCCTAGATCTGAAGGAAGAGTTAACTTGGGATGGAGGAGATGAGAGTTTCTGAAAGAAGTAACAGCACATGCAAAGGCCCTGGGGTAGGAGGGTACCTGGTACAGAAGAGGAACTGGAAGTGACCAGTGTGGGTGGAGAAGAGGGGACAAACTGGAGAGAAGCAGAAGCCAGACCATGCAAGTTCTTGTAAGGTATGTTACAGTTTGGTTTTAAATCTGAGAGCAGTGGGAAGCCATATAAAGTTTATAAACAAGCTCAAGCAGTGACTAGATTTGAGTTTCAAAAAGATAGCATAGGGTTAGTGTAGGAATATTAGATAAGGGTTGAAGGCAGACCACTCAGAAGCTACTATAGTTGTCCAGGTGATAAAAAATGGTAGCTTGGAACAGGGTGGTAGCTAAGCTAGAGAGGCAGGCAGTTAAAATGAACATGGGTGGATGAATTTGAAACACATTTAGATCAGTTTTTTAAGATTTGGCATGGACTGACTATGAAAGTAAGGGAAAATAAATTTAAAAATACTTCCTCAGTGCTTGTAACTGGTCAACTGATGGTGTCATTCATGTAGATAAGGGACACTGGAAGAGGAATAGGTTTTTACATGCAGGGAAGACAAATTCTAGTTTGGACACACCAAGTTAGACTATATAAACTCTGTGAAGGGATGGAGCATGATTATTTTTTTGGTGGTGGTACTGGGGATTGAACCACAGGCCTTTTCACTAAGCTACATCCCTTTTTATTTTGTATTTTGAGACAGGGTCTTGTTAAATCACTGAATCGCCCAGGCTGAGCTCTAACTTCTGCCTCAGCCTCCTAGAGTACTGGGATTACAGGTGTGCATAATCATGCTCAGTTTAGGCTATGTTTTCTTTTTTAATAGTTTGTGTGTTTGAAACAGGGTTCTGCTATGTAGTCCAGGCTAGCCTTCAACTCCCTATGTACAGCCATGTCTTTTTTGTTCCCTACTGCACCCTTGTCATGTACAGTGCTTGATACATACCAGGCACACTGTAAATCTGTGATAATGCACACATGGATCCAATCTGCACAAGAACCTTGGAACCTTTTCCACATGGAATGATTAATTTTATGTGTCAATTTGGGTAGGCTATGATGCCCAGTTGTTGCTCAGACACTAATGTAGATGCTGCTGTTTACAACTAGTTGACTTTATCATTGCATGGCTATAAATCAAACCCACGGCCTTCCACATGCTAAGCAAGTGCTCTCTCATTGTGCCACATCCCTAGCCCTCAGGTGACTTTAAGTAAAGATTAAAGATTTAATATGGGAGGGTCTCATCCAATCAAGTAAAGGCAGTAATTGTAAATATAAGTTAACTGGAGAAGGAATTCAGCTTCAAGACTGGTTTTGTTTTTTTTTTGGTACTGGGGATCAAACTCAGGACCTTGCGCTTGCAAGGCAGGTTTGGTGCCACTGAGCTAAATCCCTGGCCCCTCAGCTTCAGGACTATAACACAGAAATCTGACCTGCATTTCCAGCTTGCTGGCCTGCCCTATACATTTTGATGTGACAGCCCCTATAACCATAGGAGCTAATTCCCTAAAATAAATCTTTATATGCTATTAGTTTTCTGGAGAACTCTAATCAAAATGTTATGAAATAAAGTGGAAAACAAGTAGTATGAGTCAGGAGATCAAGGTTGCAATGTCTGCCCTATTCCATATCTGTTATGTGATGTTAGGCATTTCTGCCAATTTCTGAGACCAAATTTCCTTGTTAGAGATAATAATAGTATTTAAATGATGTCATGAGTAGAAAAGATCACTGCAATCTGCAAAATATAATTACATTCTTAGTTTAAGGCTGCCTTCCTAGGATTAGAAATGTTGTAAATAGGGGCCGGGGATTTAGTTCAGTGGTTCTGTCACCTGCCTCGAAAGCGCAAAAGCTCAAGGTCCCAAGTTTGATCCCTGGTACAAAAAAAAAAAAAAGAAATGTTGTAAATTTAACTTCCAGACAAAATTGGTATGAGGATGATCAAGAAAAAAATACTCCCTGGATCATTATGATGACCAATACATGTACAGTTTTTATATTCATGTCTCATTTAACCTCGACTCATAGTAGCAACATAATGATTTGGTGGTATTTTATATTTTACCTCTGACAGTGGATTCAATCTCTTCTATGGCAGCTTCATTTTGAGCTTCTGCAAGTTTTTCATTAATTTCCATTATTTCCATGAGGAACTGATCGTCCATTTCATAATGTGTCCCTTCAGGAATCTCTATTCCATGGAGCCTTAGCTATTAGGGCAAAGGAAGAATAATAAGTTTGGTTAAAAAAAAAAAAAGTTTCATTCAAGAAACTATGGCCAAAGACAGTAAATCCTGTTCTCCCTTCAGAATATACCACTCAGGGAAAACTTGAACTATACCAGAAATGAAAGTCTGACAGGAGGCTACCAAAAGCTTGGAGTGAGACAGGAATATTGGTCCAGGATCCCACTTTCTGCTGCCTGAAATTGTGTGGTCCTAGGACATCATTCCTCTAAGAAGTTGAAAGAGATGTTTTTAAACACTATTTAATTCTAAAACTTTATGGATGCGCTTGAAAAAAATACACCTCAAATTATTCCATGCTAAAAACTATCATCATCAAATCCTTGAAACTTAGAACACAGTTAAAACAATCCACCTGGGACAAGTAAGATTTACAAAGAATACTCTGAGAAAGCTACACTTAGGTAATATCTTTCTTTTTATTTGTATAGTATCATTGAAGCTAAATATCACTGGGATCTTGGATTAGCTCAAGTCTCAAGCACTCTTCTGTGGAATACAGGGGAAGCAGCCATCCTACATGACAATGAGCAATAGGAAGTCATACATAGAAGGGTTGGGGAAATCACCTTACTAGGTATAGTCCCCTGCTCAGGGGGGCCAGAAGAGTCTTATAGGCATCATTCACCAAGGTTGAATGCTTCTCTGATAATTCCTTTTCGATCTGTTAGAAATGAATATAGTTTTATTACCATTGAAATCAGTATTCTTTTTTTTTTGGTACCAGGGATTGAACTCGGGACCTTTCGCTTGCTAGGCAGGTGGCAGAACCACTGAGCTAAATGCCCGGCCCTGAAATCAGTATTCTTAAATTCATTTTTTTTTTTTTTGTGGTACTGGGGAGTGAACCCAGGGAACACTGAACAATATCTTCAACCCTTTTAATTTTTGTTTTGAGTCAGGGTCTTGCTCTATAGTCCAGGTTAGCCTAATACTCCCTACGTGACCCAGGCTGGCCTTGAACTTGAGATCCTCCCATCACAGCCTCCTGAGTGCTGCTATTACATGTATGTCCCACAAAGTCTGGCCTTATTTATTATTATTTTTTTGTGGTACTAGGTATTGAGCTCAGGAAATGCTGAGCTACTTCCCAAGCTGTTTTTATTTTTTATTTTCAGACAAGGACTAAATTGGCCAGGATAGCCTCTAATTTGAGATCCTCCTGCCTTAGCTTCTTGAGTACCTGTGATTACAGGGATGCACCAGTATGCCCCAATTTTTATAATATGCTGATGGGCAGGTGCCTAAAGAAGTGGACAAAGTACATACAATTGGTGTTGGATGAGGTGTCTTTATTTTTCTAAGTTGTCTGGAAAGTCAGAGAAAAGCTGTAAGTGGATGATATCTCCAGGACCTGCCTGGTTGGGGGCAGGCTGCTACAGGTGGAGCTCTATCCAACTCTGTCCCTGTTAATAACATTAACCACAAGACCACTGCCAACCTCCCAGTATGCACACGTTTGGGGAATACTGAGGTCGCCAATAAACTACCTGAGATCTCTGGCTGAAGAAATCTGGATGGACAAGTCGCTGTAGTTGCTGGTACCTATTCTGGAGCTTTATGGTGTCAATTCTGAAGGAATGGTTGCTGGAAGAAAATTGGGAGATGAAATTCATGCAACAAATATTATAGGTTTATCTTCTACAGGTCTGATTCCTGTCTTCTGGGGAAGATGTAACAAAGAGATAATCTGACAAATGTGGTAACTGCTTCGAAGGAAAACAGAACAAGGCCAGACAAGGTAGATGCGAAGAGGAAATAGTCATCCAGGCTAGAGAACTGCCAAGTGCAAAGACCATGAGGTGGGAACAAGATTGGCAGCTTATTTCAACCCAATCCCCCTTCATTTTCTCCTCCTAAAGCCTCATTTCCTCGCCAGTTCAGCTCTGCCTACACTTCCCCTCCTCTTTCCAAGCTTCTCAACCTTCAAAGGAAAAAAGGGAAAACCTCCATTTCTTGAACTCTACTTCTAATTACCACTTTCCTCTTAAACTTTGCCCATAACCTTGTTTGTGCTTTTACTCCCATATACAGTATATAATTTTGGGTTTGTTTTGTTCTGTTTTGCTTTGCTGAGGACAGAACACCAGGGACTCTTGCAAGCTTCGCAGGTCCTCTAGTACTGAGCTAAAGCCCCTTAGTTCCTCATCTCGCTTAAACCAACGCTTCAGTACACTACTTCTCTAAAGTTTCAATCCAACTTCAAGCTTTTTGACCCGACCCCTTCCCTCGAGCTCCGCCCATCGCCGTCTCCATCCTTTTCCCACCCTGTCCCTCTAGTTCCGTCATTCCCCACCTCTCCACTCCCACCTCGCTTCCTTCACGCCCCTTCCCCAGTCCCCCTCCCTCTTTTCCCCTCCCGACACAGCCTCAAGCCCTGTTCTTTCGTGCTCCGCCTATTTGACCAGCCCAGCCCAGCCCGTCCGCCCTGCCCTCACGCAGCCCAGTCCCCGACGTCGCTCCCTTCCGGACCAGACTCACGAAGCCGCCGCGCGTACCAATCCATGAGGCTGAAGTAGTCTCGGGTGGGGTCAGGTGGTTGTAGCGCGCGGCACTGCGGGCAGAAGAGTCCGTGCCCCCGCGCAGGGGCCCCTGGGCTGCCGCACTTCCAACACCGCGGCGCACTGCTTCCTGCCTGCGAGGCAGCGTTGCAGCTTAGCAGTCTCCTTCCGGGGGCCCCCGCCAGTCGCCGCCCCCATCCCCGAAGCAAGGCCCCGGCCCTCCAGCTCCACATCTGGGCCGCAGCCTATCTCGCCGCGGTCACCTGCTAGGGAAGACGACACCACCGACCAGACTAATACGCGGCTGACTGGCTAGAGAGCGCTAAGAGGGCGGGGTTACTTGGGGGGGGGGGAGCAGGGCGGCTGAGTCCGGTCATGCCTTCTGAACTACAACTCCCAGCAAGCATTGGTGTCACGCTTGCGGGCCACATTCGCTGCTTCTCATTGGTCCGGCGGCGGTAGAGGGCGTTTTGATTGGCTGAGGGTGGAGTTTGTATGTGCAGGTTTAGCGCCACTGGGCTGCCGGCGGCTGCGCTGAGCCTGCTGTTCCTGGTGGGCTCACGGGTTGAGTCATCGTGGGAAACTTCCTTTGGGTGCTTGAAGGCTGGAGTCCCATCGTCAGGATCAATGCAAGTGTAATCTCTTTAGCTTTCACTTTGACTGGATTTTTGAGATAGAAAGGAGAGTGCGTGGGCGACTCTTCCTTTGTAGATGATCTTCGAGGTGAAATTGACTTTCTGTTACTTAAAAGATGAAACAGGCCTACAGCTGCAGGACGAGAAGGAACAAAGTTGTGGTCTTCAATACCTGAGTGAAGTTATTTTGTAAAGAGTTATATAAATGTTAGTAATTATCATTCTTCAGATTCAATCCTTGAAATACTTATGAGAACCCAGTTTTACCTGCTAGGCGCTACAGATCTGACCTGTTGTAGAACGTCGTGCTAGCGCCCATAAATAAGAGTGTGGGATGGGGTGGCAAGCATAGGGTAAGAGGGCACCAGTTTTCCTTGGGACTCAAGTTTCGCTGGTTTTGATTTTGTTTTATTATTATTATTTTTTGGTACGGGGGATCGAACTCGGATCCTTGCGCTTGTGAGGCAGGCGGCGGAACCACTGAGCTAAATCCCTGGACCTGTTTTTGTTTTATTTTATACAAGGTATTGCTATGTAGTTCAGGCTGGCCTTGCACTCGCTATGTAGTCTAGGCTGGCCTCAAATTCGTGGTGATCTTGCTTCAGCCACCACGTGTGCCACCCTGCCCGGCTTCAGGTTTTGCTATTTGATTAGCTTAGATTCTTTAGGTTTGGTATCCTGGAGTTTTGCTGCATTCCCTTTTTACCAATAAGAATAGCTCCCAATTGCAAAGGGCTTGGCGAAGTTGTTAGATCTGTCTTTGTGTTCGGCCTCATTAAATGGATTTAGTTGGGGGTCAGAAGATCTAGATGAACATGATTCCTACTCTCCTGCAGAATGCGTAGGGGTAGAAAGGAGTATCAATAATATTTTGTGCAAATAGTCCCTCTGAAGTAGCAAAGGGAGTTACTATAGTTTCTTTTTACTTGTCTTTTATCCCAGGTGACTGGACACTTTTCAGAAATATGCATGAAATTGAAGTGTGTTGATTATATTATTGAGTTTGTTTCATGTATAATTTTTAAAAAATTGTATGCATTGGATGCTTTTTTGAGTATCAATTTCATTAGTTTTCATTGCTTTTTTTTTTTGTACCGGGGATCAACCTTGGGCTTGAAAGGCAGGTGCCGGAACCACTGAGCTAAATCCCTGACTCTGTTTGTTTTTTGAGACAAGGTCTCAGTATGTAGTGCAGGGAGGCCTTGAGCTCACTATGTAGCACAGGCTGGCCTCGAACTTGTGGTGATCCTCCTGCCTCAGTTGAACTTGTGGCAATCCTGCTTTACTTTCCCAAGTGCTGGAATTACAGGCAGGCAGTATCATGGCCGGCAATTTCATTGCTGTTTACTTACTTGTAGCTTTCAAATAATTTTTTGATATTTCTTCCGCTGGTTTATGGCTGCCAGACAAAAACTTGATCCAATGTGATCTTATGAAAAGTTCAGCCCAGAAGAACCACAGGTAGACTGTTAGGATTTTTTTTTTCTTTTTAGATGCTTGGGATTGAACCAAGTGTCTTACACGTGTTAGGCAAGTGCTGTACCACAGCCCTCTTTATTTCTTTTTTAAAAAAATTCTTATTTTGAAAACAGGGTCTCCTTAAATTGCCTACAATGGCCTCAAACTTTCAATCCTCCTAGGTCAGCCTCCTAAGTAGCTGGGATTACAAGTGTGCTGTCACCATACTTGGCTGTTAGGATCTGCAGAGCATACTTGCCCAGGATTTCTCCTTTTTTTTTTTTTTTTCTTTTTTTTGGTTTTTTTAGATGGTCTTGCTCTGTAGTTCAGTCTGGGCTTGAACTAGCTATGTAGCCCAGGCTGCTGTCAACAACTCATGGCCTCGAACTCCTCCTACTGACTCAGCTTCTCCAGTGCTGGAATTACAGGTGTGTACCACCACACCCGGCTTGTGTCTTTTCTTTCTTTTTCTTTAACCATGATAATGTGCCCATTCTTCACTCTTGAATTTGAAACTCTTCAATAAGTCTTGTTCCTTAAAACTTACCTTATAATCGGACATTTATTTTTTGAGGTCACGATGTCTCGAGAGTCAAATGCAGAGAGTCAACAGTCCTACAGCAACACCTCCTCACAGGCCCATGGCAGTGGTACCAGTTCACAGACCCAAGGTGGCTTCAACCAGTCACAAGGCAGTTTGTCCCAGTCCCCTGGGTTTGCTTCACAGTCTCACGGGTCTTTGTCACAGTCCCAAGGCACATCTAGCTCCTCCGCTGGCACAGTGCCCACCTCTAGCCAGTCCTCTCAGTCCAGCTCCGGGACGCTGAGCTCCTTAGAGACCGTGTCCACTCAGGAACTCTGTTCTATTCCTGAGGACCAAGAACCTGAGGAACCTGTTCCTGCCCCTTGGGCTCGGCTATGGGCTCTTCAGGAAGGATTCTCCAATTTTGGTAAGACTTTTTTGTTATACAGAATCATGAATTGTTTAGAAAAACAGTTACAGAAGATGGTTGCAGCAGAAAAGCTTAGGAGACTGATGGAATGATTCTGGAGTTTAAAGATAAAGAGGCAGTGGTGGGCATGGTGGTGCACTCCTGTAATCCCAGCACTTGGGAGGCTGAGGCAGGAGTATTGCTACAAGTTTGAGGCCAGCCTGGGCTGCAAGGCAAGGTCCTGTCTCAAAAAAAAAAAAAAAAAAAAATTCTGAGAGCCTCAGAGTTGTTCAGAATAGGGACTATTATTTGTTGAATCTGTTTATTACTTGTTTTGTCTCCAAATAGCCAATAGTGTAGGGCCAGGGATATTGCTGTGTTGCCACTCCTGCTTCACAAGCACAAGGTCCTGAGTTTGATCTCCCATACCAAAAAAACCCCCCAAAAACCAAATAGCCAACAATATAATTTCAATATGCTGATCTTCTCTGATATGTCCTGGTCCCAGTAGAGAGTCTTTGCTATGAGTATGTTTGAAATAGGATTTTTCTTTCCTCTAATAAAATGACAGTAAAATGACTTTATATGTTAAAATATTTGATTTGGGTGTTGTGGTGCATGCCTGTAATCCCAGCACTCAGGAGACTGAGGCAGAATTGCAGATTTGAGTCCAGCATGGAATACATAGGGAGTTCAAGGCTGATCTAGACTATATATGGGACCCTGTCTCCAAAAAACAAAAACAAAACTTGATGTGGAAAATAATATTAAGAAATGAATGACTAATGTGCTACTTTGTACCTTCTCACCACCCTTCCATTTTACTTAAATGTCAATTTTAATTTTCATGACTTGAAAAGATAGTAAAAAGAAATAGAGAAACAATATAGCAACATTAAATTTAGAAGTAAACATTTAGAGCTATTTTTTACCTTTTGTTGTTGTTGATTTTTTTGAAACAGGGTCTCATTATGTAGTTCAGGCTGGCCTTGAACTCAAGGTAATCCTCCTGCCTCAGCCTCCCAAGTGCTAGGATTACAGGTGTGTGCCATCATGCCCGGCTGTATTTTCTTTTTGTTGGCAATTTTAGAGCCTTTTGCTGTCTCATCATTGGATCTTCCCCCCTTTCAGAGAAACTCTCCAGTGATGTTTGTTTTTTACTAATTTTGGCTAGGGTTAGCTTGTGACCTTACTGAAACTATGACTGAGACAGGTGCATAGTGCAGGATGGAAGTGGTAGGGCAGGATGGAAGTTCATGGATGGAAGTGGTAAATAAAATAATAGGGTGGGCCACAAGTGGACTAAAATGTGTCAGATTCTATCTTAAGGCCTGCTATCAGATGTAGCTGTATAATTGTTGCTTTTTTTTTTTTTTTGGTACTGGGAATTGAACTTGGGACCTTGCACTTGCAAGGCAGGTAGCAGCAGAACCACTGAGCTACATCCCTGGTCCTGTAGTTGTGTAACTGAAGTACATCAACTTACTAGCCACTATAAAGCCTGCCACCAGATGCAGCTGAATTATCACTTGCTACTTCCTGACAAAATTTTGGTATGAATCTGCAAGTGTATGGTCTCTGTGCAGTCAAAGCTCTTGGTTAATGTTAATCTGTATTTGCCACCAATCCCCAGGGCTAGTGTCACAACCTTGGTTCCACCTCAGGTCATCAGGCTTTAGAGTTCCATAAGGAGCACAAAACCTAGATCCCTTGCGTGTGCAGTTTACAGTGGATTTAAGGTTCCTAGGAAAATCTAATTCTGCTGCTGATCTGACAGGAAATAGAGCTCACGTGGTAATGTGAGCAATGAGAAGTGGCTGTAAGTCCAGATGAAGCTTCACTTGCCTGCCATTCACCTCCTACTGTGTGGCCCTGGTCCTGGATGGGGCCTCTGTCCTAGAATGCTGGAATTACAGGTGGTACCATCACACCCAACTTTATGTTTAACTTTGTAAGGAACTGGCAAACTATTTTCTACAGTGGGTATACCATTTTGTTTTGTTTTGTCTTGAAACAGTATCATTATGCAGCTCCGAATGGTCTTGATCTCATGATTCCCTTGCCATAGCCTCCTAAGGGCTGAGATTATATGCACAATCATGCTCAGCAAAAGGAGCATTTTTTTTTGCTTTTTTTTTTTTTTTTTGGTACTGGGGCTCGAACTCTGGTCCTTCCGCTTGCAAGGCAGGCAGTGGAACCACTGAGCTAAATCCCCGGCCCTTTTTTTTCCTTTTTGAGACAGGGTCTCACTCTTAGTTCAGGCTGGCCTTGAACTCACAGTGATCCTCTTGCCTCAAAAGGAA